GCCGGAACAAGATCTGGGAACGCCCTCATTTTCACCGCGTGCGTTCCAGCAACTGTTCTCTCAGATCCGGCAGCTCATATCTCCGCCCATAAAAGTCCAAAGTCATCGCGCATTTTTATTTTGATTATTTATTAAAAATACAACGAGAGGAGACGTTGTCCATGTCTGTGGTGTGGATGTTACTGCTGCAGCACACGCAGCAACCCACGGACACGCTCCTGCAGCAGAGGCGCTGAGCGCATGTCCCGCGGAGATGAAGCGTCTTCATCCACCTTCAGATGTGTCTCAGAAACCAAAGCAGCACCAACGTAGCACTGACCACTCACTGCATTTACTGGAATTTTTGACGTGGGTGGGGTAAATGGTAAATGGTAAATGGTAAATGGACTGTACTTATACAGCGCCTTTCTATTTTATTTCAAGATACTCAAAGTGCTTTAAAACAATCTGTGTCCTCATTTACCCATTCATACAGCTCTATACTAGATCTCTACAAAGCTAATCATTCTAAAGAGACTAATCAGAGCTTTATCACATCCAGACACTGATGGACACACATCAGAGGCAACGAGGGGTTCAGTGTCTTGCCCAGGGACACTTCAGCATGTGACTGCTGGTGGATTCGAACCCCCAACTCTCGCATTGGAGGACGACTGCTCTAACCACTGAGCCACAGCCGCCCCTTCACCTCGCTCAGCTGTGCACCCTGCAGACAGTGCACGTTTTACGCACAGGAGCGTCTCCAGACAACTCTGCAGCGCGCGCACAACTGCTAATGTGTCAGAACTCCTGCACACATTTCAAAGATAATGAATAAAAAAGCTTACAGTAAAAAAAATTGACGTGTATTATTCACATCACGTTTCAAAATTAGTCAAAATACCAGCGATCAAAATGTTGAAAAGACCGTCCACTTTATTATCTACAATAAATGGATGGATGATTGTTCTTAGTTAGACAATAGAGAACTGAAGGCAGCGGTGACAGAGACTGGAACAGAACAACGCACAGGACTGAATTCAGCTGAGGAGTTCGGGTCAGACATTCAAGTGTGTGTGGGGGGGGGGACGCTTGACGCTGCTGCTCTCTAAAATAGTCATTTCAATTCATCCTTTATTTACACGGGTTGTTGGTCTCAAGGAGCCTCGTCATTTACAAGAGAGACCTGTTTTTAATCAATTTAATTAAATGTTTACACATGTTTTAACAACCAGTTAAAATACACCAAAATGCAGGAAATGGCATCTGTTTCATTGCAAATTTTCTGGGGGAGGACCACAGGTCTGAAAATCTGTTTTTTTTTTTTACCACAGTAAAGTAGTTTCTTTAACGCTAGTCATTGAAGTTGTTCGGTGTGTGTCACCAAAAGCCTAATTTGACAGCAGCGTTGCAAAATGCCACAAGAGGTCACTGTAACTGAAGCTTCAACAAATGAACCTGATTTTGAAACATTTGGCCCAACTGGTTCAACGCTTCGTAAAAGCTTCATTCGCTCATCGCTAGCTATTTGTGTTCCGGCATCAGTGGTTTTACAAATTAAGCCCTGGCTATCA